TATATATATATATATATATATATATATATATATATATATATATATATATATATATATATATAGATATGCACATATCAATTGTATGTGTTTATATGTATACCAGGCGGGGCCTAATAAATATGTTGGGCGAGGCCCATCGCATGTTACTGACAGATCTGTACCGGGAGGGGCCCGATGCAGGGCGGGGCCCATTATATGTATGGTATGTTGTATTTTGGGGAACTCACTAAGCTTTGTGTTTACGGTTTATGTTTAAATGTTTTTCAGGTACTTCCGGTTCCAAGAAGAAGAGATCAGGTTGATCGCATCGCATCCACCGATGATTTTCTACATGATTACTCTGATTTGTCATTGTTGTTTTGAGGATATACATTTTATGCTATGATAGTCTTTTGGAAACAATGAAATGAATGGTTGATTTTTATTATAAAAAAATGAATTTTTATCCTCAAATTTTTGGGACGTTACACAAAAACTTGAAAAATATCAGACTACATCTCAGACGACATCTTTCGTGACTGCCAACCAACAGAGTTGTACATCCTCCTCTGAAGCACTATCTCTTCATACAGGGGGAGCACACTGCGTTGAATAAAAATTCGTTGAGTATAGTTACAGATTCACTCGATGAGTGTTTGGAATGTGTATACGGATTACGGGGTACGGTATGCTGTCCAGACTGTCAGTAATATATGTATGGTTTTAAAGTTAATTTACTTTTATTAAATTACTTATTTATTATTTGTTTTAATCAATTTCTTATTACGAAATGCTGCCGTAATCCAATAGTTTGTTTCAAACACAAAAAGGGCACGTGAAGCGAGACTGTTGTTGACTTTTTTTAGATTTTTGGACGTGGCTTCCTTTCATATAATTTTGACTTGCATCCTATAAAGTGGCTAAACGCATGGGACGAAAAGGAGAGCATAATTAAAACAAAAAATAGCTCTACACGACGTCGTTATTTACATGTTTTAAACCGCTGCTAGATCACTATTCTCAACAATCCCTAGTCTCCACCGTAGCGCCACCGCCCTACACGCTTCAGTTCTTCACTTTAATTGCAATGAATTGGTGGCAAACGTCATCCGCTCCTTCTTCCTCCCGGAGTCATTCGTCTAGAAAGAGCTTCGTTAACAATAACAACGACGCTCCAGCTCCACCACTCGCCGCTCATGGCCGTCGTGTTAGTAACGGAACTCTACAGCTTAATCGCCTCGGCCTCGGCTGGAAGTTACGAAATTTCACCGACGACGACAACGACGTCGGCCAGACCTCCACCGTCAGGGCGCATCCGCTACCTCTCCCTGACTTTGCTGTTCTGCTCAAACGCGATTCCAACCTGGAAGGTTTTTCCGATCAGACATCGAAGTACATTCTGCCATTGCCTGAGGCAATTACGAGATCCGGTGAAAACAGATTAATTTCACACGGTATTCGCGTAGATTGGCAAGGATCTCGAAGGTAATTTCATCTCTACATTTTCAATTTTTCTGATCAAATCGATTATGAGGTTAAATTTTCTGCATCTTTGATCTACTGGGGACTTATGTGCGCCTTCAAAATGATTCTATAATAATGAATTAATAACGATTAAGAAATTCTTTATACACAACGAACATGATTACGATTGAAGTAAGATTAAATTATCCAAAACTTATACATGCAAACAATGAAAGTCAATCTCGTAACTTTTTGGCGTTATTCGAATGGTATATATGGATACTTTTATCATTATCCATTTAAACATTAATTATTTTTAAATAATTTTTACTTCAACCCTGTTTTAAATCCAGTCCAGCAATCGGCCCACCAACAACCACGACGGAGACACCGGATCTAGGTGTGGTAAATCCAGTTCACCCCTTACCTCTTCCTCCCGGAGTTGTCATTCATCCACCTTCTTCTTCCCCGCGTTGTAAACCTGATTCAGTATCAAGGAATTTACAGACACAAAATCAATGGCGAAAGGGGAAGCTTATAGGTCGTGGGACATTTGGAAGTGTTTATGTTGGTTCTAATAGGTATGTATTTCATATATAATAATATATTATGTTCTTATTATATATGTGTGTCAGATACTAATACTAATACTAGTTTTTAATTTCTTTTATCTTTTGATAGAGAGACTGGAGCTTTATGTGCAATGAAAGAAGTTGAATTATATCCAGATGACCCGAAATCTGCAGAGTGTATAAAGCAATTAGAGCAGGAAATTAATGTACTAAGCAAGCTTAAGCATCCAAACATTGTTCAATATTATGGTAGCGAAATAGTAAGTGGTTTCCTAATCCCACTCACCATTTACGTATTTTAAAGCAAAATGAGTATAAAAACTTGATTTTTTTATTACTTAATTAATTACTAACATTTAATCCGGATAGAATGACTTAATTGGGGTGTTTGGGATTGATTTTCAAAACACCTTATTGGCTTAGTTTTTTGAAAAGCTAATAAGTTAAAAAAAATGTTTAGCAAACTCAAAAACATTTTTCAAAATAATTTATTCATAAGTTTCAAAAAGCATTTTCTTAAAATACATGTAAAACTTGGTTTTTGAAACTGTTTTTGGTTTTTTAACCAAAATAACTTCAAAAAACACTTTTTAAGTCAAACACTTTTTAACTTATTAACGTATTGGTATTTTCACCATAAAAGTTAATCCAAACATTTTTTAAAAAACTCTATTTACTATCACTATAAATCAATAAGCACTTTTATCTAAAAACATTTTTAGATTCGAAAAGCACTTCCAAACATAAATCATAAAATTTCGGCTTAATTTATTAAGAAACCAACCTCTACCTATCTGTACTGGTTTTTTTTTTCCACTATAATCTGTGTCATGTTAAAACTGTTTGTTTGAATATAATGGTAAAATAGTCATTTAGTCTCATTCAAATATATACATGTAGGTTGATGATAAGTTTTACATTTACCTGGAGTATATTCATCCTGGTTCAATTAATAAGTATGCACGCGATCATTGTGGGGGAATGACGGAATCTATTGTACGCAATTTTACGCGTCATATTGTCTCAGGACTCGCCTATTTGCATAGCACCAAGACCATTCATCGGTAACGATTGCAAATTTTTTTATTTGTGTAGTTGAAATTATAGCAAAAATTAATATGTAGTAGTTTTGATTATCCTAGGATTGGAATTTATGATCCGGACAACCTACCAACATGTTTGGATATGTATTGTTATATATTTATTTTAATATTAAAAAGTACAAATAGAAATTTAAAATGTTACTTGGACTATTATCTTTCCTTTTTTATAATTTTGAATAATTATTTTGGTTACTAACTTATTTAACTATAGACTTCATTATTTTATTTGAGTGGGTCCATTTATTTATGTCGCAAGTTGGGTTAAAGTTGTTTTAATTAAACAAGAACCTATGTTGAAATTCGGTCTTTTGTGGTTTAATCATTAAATTTTAGTTTCATCAATGAAAGTCACATAAGTTTGACAATTTTTTCTATGTCGACGATTTTGACTGTTATGTTATAACATGTTAAAATGGTTAGAACAGAAACTTTTATCAAAATTTATGGTTAAAATTTTCATTAAAGCCATTAAACTTTACCAAAATTTTCTATTTCAACCAATTTAGCATGTTATATTGTTATAACATGTCAAAATGGTCGATATATAAAAAATTGTAAAACGTTGATCGGTATCATTGAAAAAACTAAAATATAATGGTTAAACCAAAAAATACCAAAATAAAGACTTTTTGTACTTTAAGCATTAGGTTTTTTTTTTTTTTGTCATGGATTTGAAAGTAATTACACTTTTTAGGGATATCAAAGGAGCTAATTTACTTGTTGATGTAAATGGGGTCGTCAAGCTTGCTGATTTTGGGATGGCTAAACACGTAAGCTCTTATACAAAATTTTATTAATTAATGACATATAAATAACTCATAATTTTTTATTTTGTTATACAGCTTAATGTACAAGCTAGCCATCTATCTCTAAAAGGAAGTCCTTATTGGATGGCCCCTGAGGTAAATTTCTTTTCTACCACATTAAACTATTTGAAAACAATGATTTTTTTTAATTTTATGACGTCATAATTCCTTTTTTTTAATAGCTCTTACAATATGGGACACAAAAAGATAATGATCCAGATCTTGCTCTGGCCATCGATATATGGAGTTTAGGTTGTACAATTATCGAAATGATTAATGGAAAACCTCCTTGGAGCGAATATGAAGGGGTAATAAAAATTAAAAAATAATGTATTCTTTTTGGAAAATTACATGAAAAGCCATTATATTTTGGTTATGAATGTGGTTTAAACACTATATTTCAGTTTCATTAATAAAATCTACCCAAATTTTACAACTTTTTCTATACTGTCGCAATAGACAATTTTGTGAAAGTATAGTGACTTTAGTTAAAATTTTGACATTAAAACCACTTAATTTTGAAAAAGCTGTGTACTATAACAGATCAAAGTAGTTGATATTGAAAAAATTGTTAAACTTAGATGATTAACGAAACTAAATACAGTAGTTACCAAAAAAATGGCCAAAATATAGTCATTTTTATGTATTTTTCTCTTTTTTGGACAAAATTTAATAAATGGTTCTTATGGTTTAAAAAAAAATTTCCCTGAAACTTTTTTTGCATCAATGGTCCCTTTCGACAAAAGTTGTCACACCAATGGTCCTTCTGTGAGCCATCCGTTTAATAGGGTCGTTAAGTTGAGGGCATTTTGGACATTTTGTATAAGGATCATTTTTGAAATTTTGTGAAACTTCGCTTATGAACCATTTGTATTAATTATCATAAATAAAATAAAAAGACAAAAAACTAAAACATAAAAAATATAATGTTTATATAAATAAAAAAATAAAACTTACTAATTTTAATCATCATGCAAATATATTTTTAATATATACATAACTTTTGTTAACTTTATCTAAAAATATTTGAAGTATAAAAACATCATTTTATCTACTTATAATTTCTATGTGATATTATTTTCGAGATTTATCTTTTATTTTTTTTTATACAAATATATTTACTTTTTTTAAAAAATATCATATGTTATTATAAAATACAGTGTCGTTTTTATGTATTTTGCCCTTTTTCTTTAATATTTGATTATTTTGCACTTGCTAAGGAACTAAACTAAAAATTGTTTTCTATTTCAGCCTGCAGCAATGTTTAAGGTTATTAAGGAGACTCCACCATTACCTGAAACAATGTCACCTGAAGGCAAAGATTTCTTACGTTGTTGCTTTATTAGGAACCCTGCAGAAAGGCCGAAAGCTACCACCTTACTTCAACATAGGTTCTTGAGCTCAAACCAGGTAAATAGTAATTTTTAGCTTCATATTAATTATTTTAATATCGTAACATTTGGAATGTTATTATCATCTTTTTTCTATAGTATAAAACAGAAGATCAAAGAGAGGTTTGGTCATAACTTTAATTGATTATCAACGCCCACGTGCCTAGCTCGAAAGGAAATTGCTAAAAAAGAATACGGAATCATTTCTTCTTTTCTCATGATACATATAACGTAAACTAACATTGGTTGCCTACTCTGAGTCTATATAGATGATGTATAGTCATCCCATTTTATATACCCAATTAATTGCTTCTCTTGTAATATTGTATTTATATATGAATAATGGGAGAGCTCATTTCATGGGCAAATAATCATCCTACATAATATCATAGCAATATAGCATCCTCTTTAAAACCTTAAACCTTAATCTCTCAATCTAGGCCACCAAACCACCGTCGTCGACTCCCTCTTCTTGGGATCTTATAGCGAAGTTTCTTCTTCCTCTTTTACTCCCTCTACCCAAAAGATCTGTAACATAATTATAATGGACACCAACACATATATCCCCCTAGTCGTAGACGTTGATATCCTCAACTATGATCCTTGGTGAGAACTCTTTGAATTGCACCAAATTTGGGGCTCTTGTTGATAATATTGATGGATCCCAAGACGCTCGATATGAAGAAAACATTTCTTTATGGTCATCTTTAGAAGGCCGTTTTATGCATCAGTTTGTGTCCTTGTGATCCTAGGTTTTCGAATCATGTCTGCCACCTTCATCGATCTCTTGATGGCCTTAAACAGACACCATGGGCTTGGTTTCAGCATTTTGCCCATTTTGTCACACGTATTGGCTTTCAGCATAGTCGTTCTAATTCCTTCATTTTTATTTTAGATGGGGGATAGTTTATGGTAGGGGTGAGCAAACAGTCTGAACCAACCCGAACAGAGTAACACAATTATGAGAATCGATAACTAGACCGATAAAACTACATCGACGTCAGATTTTCCGATCAAGTACCGGATTGTAATCGGTATATGTTCTTTTGCAATTGGTACAAGATAAAGATCTATGTGTTAAATGAACTTGTCAATGTTTTGAGCCCCAATGATTACAATAATACCAAATCAATCAAGAAAAAATTCATCCAAAAATGTTCATACTTTAATATAAAATTAATCAACAAAAAGTAATAATTAATCGTAATAAAAACTTACAAAGTAATTATCGAAACACAAAAGTTCATAGTTTAATACCAATTCAACCAATAAAAGTCATACTCTAATTTTCCATCGGCCTTTTCAACGTTCCTTTGTCATGTAGTTTGTTTAAAGCTTGTGCAATCTCTATATAGAACGAAATAAAAAAAAAAAGTGTTAGTATTCGATAAAAAGTAATAACCATATCAACATAGAACAAGATTTGAAAAAAAAAATACTCAAAGCTATCATCGTTCTTCAAGATATCGTTGACGTTGTCTATTATTGGATTTGTAGACTTTCTAAACCAATCTTGGTTGCACACCAAAGATTCAACTATCAACGTCGACAAGCTAGTCTGATGCTCATCTGAAAATCTACAAACTAGTGCTAGATGCTTAGTCGGATGTCACGGTTGAGATTTGTATCGTGATATGTCTTAACAAGAAAAGAATTAAAAATTTTACAACATTAATTTATAAACAAACTATGAGGAAGTAGAAAAAAGCAGTAGTTACCTTTTGCCATCCGAGCAACTATTGGGAACCTTATCACTTTAACCTTCCACCAACTGAGGATATCAAAATCTTTTTTTTTTGTAGTCCACTAGTCTCTTTCAAATAGTTTCTTAACTTGTTATCCATCATATCTCGGTTGCTACCTCATGTGTTAAGAAAATCACTAAAAAGTCGTTATCATCATCACAAACAACGATTTTTTTACGACTTTCTTATTGAGAAGACCCACCATTGTCGAATACTTTCAAGTAGGACCTAAAAAAAATTCAATCCTTATCTCGACCTCGTGAACCATTTGACACGCATTCAACTCTTTTACCGAGTTTGTCATGGAGTTATCCGTGTACCCGGTCATTTTTTTAAAGAATGTAACAATAAAATCGACTTCACGATAGGATCTAGCTACACTTTGAACTACATAAAATCATTCATCTTGTCGTAGGAACCCCAATACTTGTCGTTTTTTGCCCTCATCTCCGTTTCCATTTGAACAAAGTCCCCTTTATCTTAAACAATTAAAGGGACTCCACAATATATCTTATTACACCAAAGTATGAATGCTCCATTACTCTACCTAGATCATTTTCATATACTTTTTGTTGTAAAAAATGACAGATTCATCACAATCCAGAAACAACATAAATTCAACTTTGATACCTTGTATTCAGGGGCTGTAACTTAGTAAATATGTAACCAAATAAGGTGTTTCTATAGTCTAAAATACAGTACAAACAACAATCTACATGTTGGAAAAAACATTATATCATTCTGACTTCAAACAAATAAGTTATGACAGTTTAAAGAAGATGACAGATCGACACAATTAAAAAAAATCTTTTTTATGTAAAATTTCACAAACACCTCTTGTAGCTCGTATGCGGTATTCAATGGCTTGAAAGTCGAGTTCCATCGGATAGGGGTGTTACAATAGAAACTGTTTTGTTTCTAACCAACAATCTTTCATAGCCTTTTAAACTTGCTTATCCTTTGTGTTGATTGTTTGATATATCTTACGACCTTTTAGACATATTCGACATGGTAGTTTTGGACTTTTAGCCCATCATTGACAATAAAGTTTAATATGTGACTACACATTATGTGGAAATGTTTTCCAATGTCATAAAGATTGGGCAACTTTTTAACAAAAAAATCAATTGCCTTGTCGTTAAAAGTGGCGTCATCCATGGTCATAAACATGAAATCTTTTATACCTCGTCCGTGAATGCAATCTAGTAATTCTTGACCAATTTCATCTCCTTTGTAGCTATTGATCTCCCTAAAGTTTATTATTCTCTTGTGCATCATCCAACTTTCATCTATAAATTGGGTCGTGACCTGTTGACCACCATGTAAGTAACCCTTTGACAAGAGGACGTCCAATTATCCTAGTTTTTGCACCTCTTTGCATGTTTGGTTCAAGTATAAGTCCCATGTTGGGTTGGGTCGGATTTTAGTATAGCTTTGTGAAACTTATATTTTTCATACTTTCTTTTCACACCACCATCCTATACTATCATAATTCTAACGAACGATTTTCAACAAAGGGCTCTTTCGTTGCCATCTTTTTTTTCTTCGTTTCATAGGCTTTGGCAATTGGCACATCTTCTTATTCTGAATCATCATCGATATTAACTTGAGGTGCAACACCAACAAATAAATCTTTACTACCAAAAAGGTTTAACAAAATTCAACTAGCTGTTGCAACAACTTTATAACAACTAATTTTTTTCATAACAAATCAACTATCAATATCAATTTCATATAATAACAACAAAGTTCTACAATTAACAATCAAAAATTGATATTCTTGATTGTTAATTGTAGAAGCGAAAACCACGGAAAAACCCTATATATTATATGCTAATGTTCAAAAAAAAACCTTATATTATTTTTTTTGAACATTTTAACCATTTTATTTCCAAAACCGTTTAATCTATCTAATTTATTCAGTAACGCTAGCTTACTTGTTCTCATAAGTCGACGTGGATTACCTTTCAGTAGATCCACCCATCCTTTAACCTTCAATAAATTGGATTCCGTAAAAAAAAAAGATTTCTTAATGTGAAGGAGAGAAAGCTTTGTGGAATTGGAAATCCAGTGTCAACATGCTTCGTCAACTTGAAATCGACTTGAATTCAGGTTCATTGCCTTATGTAATATAGTTAGCATGTCTGATTTTTTTTTTTTTTGTTGAAATCGACTTGAAATCCGATCCAGGTTCGTTTTCTTTAACACCAATAGCTATGGATTAAACTTCAAATACTGAAGATGAAGTTGATATGGATAGTTTGAATGGAACAAATGATGAGTCCAATATTTCTGGGTTGTCTTTAGATGCCGATGAAGATGAGTAGGACAAGATAATATGTGATCCTTTTTTGAATGAATTGGTACAAAGAGATGAAATTGCTCGAAGTATCATCTAATGATGATGAATGGACCCCTTTAGATGAAGAATCTGAGAAAGGAGAGGACAGAGATCAAGAAATTGGGGTCCAATTTCTTGTGTAATGCTTTTTATGGTTGTAATTATCCTATATCATGTAATTCTACTCAACTTTCTGTTTCTGATTGGTGTTGTCTTGTGTGCTAAAGACCCAAACCATCACCTAGGGTAAATTTGTCAAATGCATAAAACCATAAACAAAGTAGCAAAACGGAGGAAAAAAAAACAAAATTTCCATAACTGTGGTGACAAAAGAAAGTGCCGATTTTAAGTTTATTGTTGTTTAATTCTTTAATTGATGCATTAGTTTATCTTTCTAGACTTGTAGTGACAAAAAAGTGACAACTATACCCTTGAAAAATCCATAAGATGTATTTGTGTATCTGTAACAGTAACAACATGACAACGAAATAAATGGGGCTAATTTTGTCCAAATACATGAATACTCATCATTGCTATAAATTGAGAAAAAGAAGTGCATTCTTCACATGGTCAATAATTTCCAACTGATCCAATCCAAGTTCTAGATGTACTCCATAATTAGTACCACGGCTAAAATCGTCCAGGATACCATTTGACCATAGTGAGATAATCTATGAACAAAAGGGTAAAACCGTCCAACTGATTTATACCCCGGTATAAAATAACATTATAACCATAAGAACGAAACCTAGAACAATCCATATACTCACATAACCACATTCTTTTCATATAAAACAAACAAATGCAATAAATCTTTTCTCAACCAATTTATAACGGTTAGAATGTGCCAAGTCTTCAAAGTACATTTCTTAAACATTGCTTCAAAATTACCAAATTGCATGATACCAAACAACAACACCCTATTACATAATTAGCGATTTTACATTAATCTAACTTGTCCTGTTACATAATTCTAAACCAAATGAAGATGAAAACCAAAACAATACCAAACACAATCACCATGACCATGAATATATCAATCTCTTTTT